CCCCAAAACCCCAAAACCCCAAAACCCCAGCGTTAATACATTTATAAGTTTTAATAGAAATAAAATTTCGTAATAAATACCAACCAATGATGCAAAACTTATAAAATTTTAATTTATTTGATTTCCTTTTTATTTTAAGGTAGGTACCTAATACCTTATCTTTATCAATATTTAATATCTTCGTCTTTAGATGATTGGTTACGAGACTGAAAGAAGACTAAAGAACTTCTTAGTTGCCGTTGGTGATGGAGAGCTCATCCTTGAAAGAGCAAGACAGAGACTATGTGAAATTAGAGACTTCGCACCAGAATCTGCATTCCAAAGAATTGACAGAGATGGAAACATTTATATCTCTAGCTACGAACTCCTAGCCTTCCTCCGTGACAATAATGTGTTCAACATTAGCGATTCAGAGTGCTATAGACTAGTTAAGTTCTTTGACTCAGACGAAGATGGCAGACTATCTCTAACCGATTTCAGTCAAATGATCCTTCCTTGTGAAGACAACCTTCTCAGAAGAATCACACAGGAGAGACCATCTTTCAGAGTTAGCAGATATGACTATCTTCCTAGAGACATCGAGCAAGCCCTAACTGAGCTCATCGAAAGAGAGCTTGATCTTCATAGAAGACAAGAAATCTTGAAGGGAGATCTTGAAGTTAGATATGACTACTCATCTTATGCAGCATTTAGAGCTATTGATAAATACAATGAGGGAAATATTAACACATTTAATCTCTCTGCATTCTTGAAAAACAATGGTCACTACGCTTCAGAAAAAGAGCTTCTAGCTATTATTAGAAGAATCGACACTGACGGAGATGCAAAGCTATCCTATTCAGAGTTCGCAGATTTCATTAGAAGCTCGGAGACAAGACCACTCATTGAAGATCTAAAGAGAACTTACTCAGCAGAAAGAACCGCAGCAAGAAACTTGAACTCATCTACTATGGGATCACCATTGAAAAACCAATCATCATACTAATCACCAGCTAGATCACACTCAGCCTATGGAAGAAGAACCGTTTAAATTAGCACTCCACTGAGAGATTCTAGCTCCCCTTTCAGAGAATCAAGAGCAAGTCCATTGAAAGAGTCTCTTGCATCCTCAACTCTTAGAGCAACCTCCCCAATCAGAAAATAACCACTCTTAAGACTTGAGGATGAAGATGAACTCGTAAGAGCACTAAGGGAATAAATCTCACTTGAAAAGGAGCTTGAGAATGCCAAGATATCCCTTGCCTAGAGATCTGACTTCAATCTCTATGATGCTTTCAGAATCTTTGACATTGACGCAAGAGGTTACATTACATACACTGACATTAAGCAAGGTCTCAATGATATCGGAATATTCCCATCAGTTGAGGAACTTGAATTGTACATTAAAAGATGGGATAAGAACAACGACCACAGACTTAGATTCTCAGAATTCTCTGACTCATTCATTCCAATCGATCACTATTATGCCAACCTACTCAATAGAAGAACATCCAACGATGCAAGGGGCAGACTCTATTAGAGAGACGACTGCTTCCTTTCAGAAACCAAGATTGAGTTTAGAAACGTGTGGAGAACTCACTTCAAGATCGAATCATATTCTGAATCTTTAAGATAAAGACTATATAAGAGACCAGGATTCAATCTCTACGAAGCTTTCATTAGCTGCGATCTAAATGATGATGGTACAGTAAGTAGAGAAGAACTAAGAAGGCTCATTGAATCAAGAGGATTCTATGTTAGTGATAAAGAAGTCAACCAACTCATTGAAAAGATAGACAAAGATAGAGATGGAAAAATCTCCTATGCTGAGGTAAGTTAAAAATAAATAAACTATAATGATGAAAAACAATTTATCAACAGTTATCCCTGTCATAGACAAGTTCGTTGATGAGACGTAAATATTCTTTCTGATCATAAAAAATATACAATATTGTCCCATTAATATGATATTAATCCTATTTATTTAGTTCAGAGAAGAGTTCCAACCAAGAAGCCCAGTCAGGTTTTGATAACAGTAAAATAGACATACAAACCAATAAATATATAAATAAGTATTTTTTTCCATAATATTCTCAACATCTGTATTCTATTGTTTGAGGGGTTTTGGGGTTTTGGGGTAGGTGATATTTGATGT